CTGAGCATCCTCTATGTAGGAACTCATTTAATCCTCATAAAACCCCCAAGAGTTAAGTACTGTTAACTTTTACATTTTACTGATAAGAAGACCAAGACTCAAAGAAGTTAAGAGACTTATCTGTGGTCACATACATATTAAATTGGCAAAGATGGAAGCATGGATTTAAAAAGCTAGTTTTCAATAAAGTCAATGAATGTAAAATGGAAGCTAAGAAATACCAAGACAAGATAAATACAGACTTTAGACTCTGGTCTTCTTAAAAGTGATGATCCTTTTTCAATAAGTCCTCACTTAGGTATGGGACTTCATGAGCCCTTCCCTTATATATGCTGGGATTTGGACTGGCTTGGTCCTGTGCATGCAGTCATGATTGCTATGAATCCATTTGGGAAATGGCCCCATCATTTTGACCAACACTGTTTCAATGCTAGATATCCACTACCTCTAGTTCTTACAATCTTTCCACACATCTTCCACACTTATCTCTGACTCTTGGGAGAGGGGTGGGATGTAGGTATCCCATTCAGAGCAGAGCACTCCATAATCTCTTCTTCTCTGCACGTTAATTTCACACCCCTTCTGCTTACTTTCTGGCTCTTGCATTCCTTCTGACTCTTCTTCCATGTTTTCTGAGCCATAGAGAGGATGATATTGATGTCTCATTTGGGGGTAGACATTAATCCATCACTTCTTAGCATCTTGTGAATCTAGTAGTCTCTGAATTCACCACTTATTTGTCATGGCTATTTGATTCTACTGGGATATTTTGGGTTGAATATATATTTTCTGAATCTATTTTATGGTTGGGTAAGACAAAATGCTATGTTTTTTTAAAAAAGTTGTATTGTCTAGGTTTTCCAGAGAAACTGAACCATAAACCATAAAAGTAAGGAGCAGGTATTGTAAGACACCAATATATGCAATTATAGAAACTAAGGAATCTGATAGCCTATTGTCTGCAAGTTGGAGACCTAGGATTGTTGTTTGGTTTTGCTCTTTTACTTTTTGGGGGGCCCACCACCAAACTCCCAAATAAATCACACATGGAGGTTTATTCTCAATTATAAATGCCTGGCCTTATTTCTTATTTCTTGCCAGCTTTCCATAATTTAAATTAACTCATCTGTCTTTCGCCTCTAGGCTTTTACCTTTCTCTATTTCTGTATACCTTTCTTTCTTACTCTGTTGCTGGCCCCTGGGTCATCTTGTGTCTCTCTTGCTCTCTCTTCTTCCCTCTTCCCAGATTTCTCCTTCTACATATCCTCTCTGCCTGTCAGCCCCACCTATTCTTTCTCCTGCCTTGCTATTGGCCATTCAGATCTTTATTAGACCATCAGGTGTTTTAGACAGGCACAGTGACACAGTTTCACAGAGTTAAACAAATGCAACATAAAAGAATGCAAGACATCTTTAAATTGTTAACAAAAGCAGTAATAAAAAATGCAACACACTTTAAAATAATATTCCCTGACATAGGATAGCCCATAACATCATTCAATCCAGCTCAAAAGGCCTGAGAGCCAGAGAATATGCTAGTGTGAATTCCTGTCCAAAGAGCTGCAATGGTGAGATAAAATGCCTCAATTTAAGCAAACTTACGAAAAAACAAAACAAAAACAGAAAGTGTTCTTATTCTACTCAACACACACACATACACACACACACACACACACACACACACACACACTGAATTCCATAACATTATATCTGAAAAGGAAATCTACTTAATCCATTGGTTGAAATTCTAATCTCATCTGGAAACACCCTCACAGGCACATCAAGAAGTAGCATTTCCCCTAGACACCTGTGGCCAGTCAAGTCAACAGAGAATTAACCACCAAGAGATACAATGCTAATAGAGAGGCATAAACTAAAACAAAATCCTCACTCTACACCAAGAAGCAAAGAAAAATTATTTTCTCATTCCCCACACTTAGATCTTTCATTTTTTCCTGATTCATTGCATTATTTGGACAGGTATTCTTGACCATACCACTTGATATTGCTCAATATATACTTCAGTAACAGAGGCTAGGGCAACCTGAAGAAGCTCTTGTTACCCATCGCCCAAGCCAATCCATCACCATTGCTGAACTAGGCTAGCCCTCAGTATCCCTGATGAAGAGATGAGACCATCGCATCAACTGCCCATTGTGGGGCTCCTCTTGATTTCTCTTATTCCAAGCCAAGTATGTAATATGTGTCATAAATACACTTTAGGATAAGATTACTCAAGTGAGATGGTGTCTCGATAGCTAAGAGCAGGGTGCTCCAGGAACATGAACTAAGACCCTGTGTTGGTTCTTATGTGTTTGGACTCCACAAGAGACTTTTAAAAAAAAGTTCTACAGTGCATATTGCATTAGGAAGGACCATGGAATCTGTGTTAAGTAGCCTTACTGTTCTTCCTGTGTTCTGGTCCTCTATGCCACAGCATGGTACCAAGAGACAATTTTGTTGTTGCTGCTGGTGCTGTTGTTTGCAATAATAGAAACTTCCTGGGTCACAGAAACTTTTCAACATCATAGAAAGTTATCCTTTGATTTTCGTATGTAATCTATTTTCCCCCAATTCAACCCATAGTTTTTAAGTTATTCTCTTGAAATTATATAGTTTAAAAAAAACACCATACTTTTTTTCAGACAATGCCGGTGGCTCTCTCCTCCTTGTAGAGCACACATATTTAAAGCTGCTTCTCCTTTTCCCTTCAACTTCACACCATAAGATGCAGAAAAGAGCCTCATCTGGCAAAGCAGGGGCAAGAAATGAGGCAGAGGCCTGGTCTGATGCTGCTTTTGATGCTGAGTTTCAGGGCTCTGTCACTCCCTGCCTACCCTGGGCTCCCTTTAGGCTTTGGGTCCCATATTGCACCTGCTCCAGAAGAGGTGCTGAGTCCTGGTCTTCACTGGGATGAGGTATGAATGGAGCCATGGCATAGAAAATAGACAGTTTCCAATAAAGACCATCCTATAAAGAAATTATCGCCAAGGCCCCTGAAGTTGGAGCACCCAGATGCCTGAATTTGGCAGATGTCACCATGGCCATTGATCTACTTTACAGGTCAAGGCCATTGTTCTGACCAAAGCAGGGCTAACAATCTAGTGTGTTTTGTCACCTAGTCATGTTCAAAGTCCTGGGAGGTATGCAGTCAGCTGGGATGGAGGTGGGTGGAATCCATTATGAGATGAACAATGTTCATTGAAACAGCAATGTTTTGATTGGAGACTGCCAGCCGCATTTTCCCTACTTAGGAATGTTCAAACCAAGCATCATGCAGTTTCAAGCAGTAATTCAAATCAGGCAGTAATTGAGGACTACTTTTCTATAATGGGACATTTTGTGGAGGTTCAGTGCTGAGAAAATAATCCTCTATGGAATGGTGATTGGTCAGTATTGTGTGGTGTTTTCCAAACTTTTCAAAGCAAATGTTATGTAACTTTTCATCTAAGAACCACATCAACTTATTTTTGGGAACTAAAGGGGAGTATGAGTCAATTTTTTTCCTTTGTATTATAAGACACATTATATATTTCTATAAAAAATATAGAAATGTAGAAAGGTCAAGATTTCTCTTAGAGAGAGAGAGAGAGAGAGAGAGAGAGAGAGAGAGAGAGAGACTGCTCATCTCTCCATCTGAGTATCTGAGTGTTGGCTCCTGAGAGTACACAGTTTTGTAAGAAATTTAAGAAATACTAATTGGGGTAGGGCTTAGCTCTTTTGGTAAAGTGCTTCTAAGTAAGATTCTACATACACACACAAAAAAAAAAAAACAGGCATACTGGCATGTGTTTGTAATCCCAATGCTAGGGAGGTGGAGACAAGAGAATCACTAGGCTCCCTGATCAGACAGCTCATCCTTTTTGGCAAGCTCTAGGCCAGTGACAGATCCTATCACAAGCAAGGGTCATTTAGACTATTAGATATCTCAAGTCCTGATTGTGGGAGCTTGGGGGAGCCCCTGGCTATAGAGGGATCATTTAGATTACTAGCCAACCTCCAGTCCTGGTTGTAGGAGCTTGATATGGCCTGACTCAACCAGTAACACAGATCACCAGGCTGTTAATCACAGCCTTCTGGAAAAACAGGTTATATGTCTCTTCCATTGAAAATACTATCATGTGTGCTTAACATTCCTGGTTTTCCTGGAGATCTGTGGCCACAAGGACCATCATGCTCCCAACTAGTAGTTGGATTCTTTGCAATATTTAAGAAAATTGCCTATCTGAAAAGATTTTCTCCAACTAATCAAGAAAAGCATGTATCCAAAGAACCCCTGTTATAATTATTCCAGTTATATGTAGCTGAGGATGAGTCTAAATATACATAAAAAATGACTCTAAATATACATCCCATGCCCATTTCAAGACAGTGTCTTCTAGACATGCCAGGGAAATATTCATCCATAAAATCTCAACCCTAGATGAAGAATTACAGGCAATCTGTGGGTGCTTCAAGGGAAAGTCAGTTTCCCCTAGGGATGATGCCTCTGCTGGATTACCCACCCAAGTGCAATCAGACCTAAACACAGTACTTAGGAGCAACATTAAATGGATTCAGTAGGTTACATACACATATATGTAACAATATATATGTTACATATGATATAAAAATGGAGACTATGATTTTTTAATTTGAGGGAGTGGAAAGGGAACACAGGAGGACTTGGAGTGGGGAGAAGGAGGGGTGGAAAGGGTATAAATATGACTCACATACAAAATTCTCAAAAAATAAAAAAATGTAAATTTAAACAAAAAGAAAACATGGACAAAATATTAAAAGAAAAAGAAGTTTATGACTATATAGTGAAGGGTATGCTCGGAAAATGAATAAATGATTATACTGGCAAGAAAAAAAATCTCTCTAAGGGCTGGTGAGATGGCTCAGAAAGATAAAATCTTACCATTAAACCTGAAGACCTGAGTTTGATCCTGGGAACCCACATGGTAGAAAGAGAGAACAGACTCCTACAAGCTGTCCTCAGACTTCTACATGCACACCATGCATGTGCACCTACACACACAAATAAATAAGTAAATAAATAATGATAGATAGATAGATAGAGATAGATAGATAGATAGATCTATATTTCCTATGACATATAAAACAGGTTTGCCATCCTAAAAAAAAATTTCCATTAAAAAGACCACAAAGGTGGGGATGAATATGATCATAGAACAGTGATATACATATATGAAGATACCATAATGAAACTTACTATTTTATACACTGAATAAAATAATAGTATAAAAAGAAAAGGAGACCATGACAGAAAACAAAAGATGCGGACTCTCGCTTACACATGAACACTGTATAAGCTAGCTGGAGTCAACCACACAGAGATATAGAATAAAGCTAAGAAAGCTTACAGTAGAGAAGTAAGCAGGGAGCAAGAGATTTGACCAGGTCAGCCTTGGGCCAGTCATATGAATACTGAGCCTCTGGTGCCTCGTTAATATAAGAAATGAATCCACGCTCATCTCCTTATAATGATATTCTAAGCATGAAACCCTGAAAATTTTGATGTTCACTTATTGTTGTTGCTTAAAGAGAAAAATCCTACATTTTTATCATTTATTTATTTTGTCTTTTTTCATTTTTCTAAGTACTGCATGATTCTCAAAAGATCCCATGGCATCATGAAAAGACTGATAGCTGCCTTTCATGATACAGTTCATTCACAAAAAGCCCCCCTGAGGCTAATGAGAACAATGAAAGACCGGTAAGGGTAGAGAAAGAAGTGACAGGCAAAATGAGTCTCAAAGAAGACAGGAGGCAAAAATAAATGAAATGAGAAGCAGCGACCCTGTAAAACCTGAATGCTTCCCTTTTCAGGGATGTATTTAAGCTTGGGACAGGTTGATTTGATTATACTGGCTCTGGGAACATGTAAGACTAATTTTGTACCATATATACGTGTGTGTGTGTGTGTGTGTGTGTGTGTGTGTGTGTGTACTAAACATCACATAATTGACCAGTTAAAAGTCAAATTACAAGAAGAAATTGAAACTATGAGTAATACTCCAGTGTTCAGAGATCTCAGGAGACTGTGTCTTCTCCACTGACTTGGACTGTAGAACCATTCCCCCCGACTCTGCCATCCTCTTCATCCTGTGAATTCCATTCCATCTCTGAGGATTATTCTATTTTCTTCTCTCTCAGCAGGCATCTTGAACTTTCTTTTTAACTACATTCAAGTATGCACTGACCTGTGTCTGAAACAGAATAGGCAACAGAAGTGGTTAGACATATGATGACAAAGGAGGCCAGCACCTTGTAGAGCCTTAAGAGTGTTAATAGACTTACTTCATTCAACACTGGAGCATGATGATCTCTTCCCATGGGGCTTTTGAGGTCTCATATACTCTCGGGCCATGCCAGTGTCTCAGACCACTTCCTGATGCCTGGTCAAGATGTAGAATTCTCTGCTACCTCTCCAACACCATGTCTGCTGGCACGCCACCAATGTCCCACCATAATAACAGACTGAACCTCTGAACTGTAAGCCACACAATTAAATGTTTTCCTTTATAAGGGTGGCCATAGTCATGGTTTCTCTTCACAGGAACAGAAACCCTAACTAAGACATTTAAAAACAATACTGGAGTTGTAGAGCTGGCATGGGGTTAAGAGCACCAAAATCATCAGTACCAGAGTTCACATCCCAGTATGCACATAACAAGATGTGTCCTGACAAATGCCCACACGGAAGAGGGAAAGAAGGATCACAGGGACTGGCTAGCTTTCAGCCTTACCAAGAAAACCCAAACCCAAGGTTGAAGAAAATAACCCTTTCTCAAAGGAAAAAATTGGAAAGTGATGGAGAATGATATCTGATACCCTCTCCTGAACTCTGTGTACACACACACAAACATGTATGTACATACAGATATACATACCTACATATGTGTAATACTCACACATATATGCATAAATTAATTAAATATTTTAAAAATAATAAGTATTCTATGAGAAAGCTACAGGTAGCAGAGTCCACTTTTATCCCTGGGCAGGAGAAACAAAATTAAACAAAACAACTTCCATGAAATTGAAATCCACTCCTTATCTAAAAATCAAACAACTTAAAGGAATCTTGACTGGAACCCAGGTCCAGATTGACTCTATTGTGTATAGTCAGCATATCTACCTGAAGGTATATTTCCACCAAAGAGCCAAAAAAAAAAAAAGGTGTCCTGCAAAATGAAATGAGCTAGTACCTATCAACCTAAACTATTCATGAAATCATTGCAGATAAGCATCAGTAGGCTATTGGCCTAGGAGGAGTCCTGACTATATTCACATGTTAGCCAAATATCCTACCAGTAATTATGTGGGAATTGTCAAGAGATACTTATTATTTTGCTGCATTACCTGGCCCTCAGGTCCTTACATCATTCTGCTGCTTAGAAGTCACCTTCACACACCATGGAGGGTCTATAGAGTAAGTAAACTGAGATAGGCAAATAGAAATGAGATACATCAAGGTAGGAGGGGTCAGCGTAGGTATTTAAAAGTGGCTGGGTCTGGAGCAGATTGTTTTATAAAATAAGTGAAACAAGAGAAGGTAGAGGCACACCTCATTAGCAAATACTGGTGTTCGTGGAAAGGGAGACGTGGACAGCACAAGAAAGCAGGGCATGGCTTGGCTTACCCTCTACCTTCTAAATGTTCTCTGGGCTGTGGCAGGAACCAGCACCCAAAGCTCTTGCTGTGAGTATGGTGATTATTCCAATGGCAAAGAAGCAGTCTCCCTCCAGAGAGGCAGAGATCTCAGGCACAGTTCTACTGTTGAGAGAGGGGTGGAACAGCAATCACTATAGGAGTTCTGAAGAGGTAGGCATAAGTCAAGGATGGAGACTTAGTCATCTTTCATGACTTCACAGAATAATTCTTGGAGAGTCAAGTCAATGCATATGGTTTTTGTTTTTTTTCCCAAGAGATAGTGAATTATGATTGCAGGAATGTTGGCTGCTGGAACAAGATAGATACTTAGTGGTAACTAAGACTACATGGGAGGTATGAATATTTGATGAGCAGATGATGCCTCAAATCATCAATATTCTTCATGAAGGAGAGGGAAATGAATGCTAAAGAAATGAGAGACTTATAGGAAATGATTAGAAATCATGTTAAATACTTCTGAGATGTACTGCTCAAAGTTAGCACATGAAAAAAAATCACTTTAAAGAGAAAGATTGTTGGAGAAGATGTAAGGACTAATGAGCCTCTAAAGAAAAATGCTGATTTTTTCTGCATTTCTTTTCTGTCTCCTCAAATCTCTCAAGCCTTCTGCTAAAAGGCCTAGAAGACACAGGAACGACACTTCTGGGAAAGGGATGAGGGCTGGGGGAATGAGGGATGAGTGGTGGGGTGTTGCAAGTGGCTTTCCTTTTCTCAGCTGTCCCGCCAGAACAGCAGCCCTGGGTCAATGGCCTACAAGTGCTCATGGAGAAGTCAGTGACGAAGTCAGACTTCACAAATCCCAGCATCCTGATTGCCATGAACCTGGCTGGTGCCTACAATCTGGAGGCCCAGAAGCTCCTGACTGACAGGCTCATGGCCACTAACAGTGCAGGTTAGACACTGGAGCCCCTCCCCAAAGCCTGAATCTTCCACATACAGGCTACCCCGGACCCCAGGTCTCTGTCATCGCCCACCCCAATTCACTCACCTTTCCCTGCACAGCAGAAGAACATCTGTAGCTAAACATATGTGACATTGGAATAGTCAGGGAAGAGGGGAGGGATGCACAGGGAGCTCCAGACTCAGGGAAGAAAGCAGACACTTCTGCTTCCAAATTTGCTGCTTATGAACAAGTCACTGGATGCCACTTACTCACCTTGCTCTCTAAGGACACAAACAGTAACAATAGGTGCATGACAAAGTTTACTTTCTGCCTCTAAGTCTCCACTGACTTTCATGGGTTTTCTCCTTTCTTTTCTAAACAGACAGCACGGATTCTTTTCTTAGCATATATTAAACATAAGAAATAATTAGCTTCACTGTGCAATCACTGAGTCACACAGACAACACTACATTCTATGTTTCTTCAAAGACTTATTTCCATATTTCTTTCTTTGGAAAAAAAGAAATTTTAAAATGATGTGAGTGCACTACTGAAAAATCCAAATCCTGGATTTGAGGCTTTGAATATATAAGGCTGGGAGACGCTGTGCATGGTGACATACACCTGTAAGCCCAGCACTCAGCAGGAGTGAGTTCTGGGCCAGCCAGGGATACAGAGTGTCTCAAACATTAAAGAGAGGTAGTGAGCAGCAGATGAGAGATGGGTTAGTCAGGGGGCTCCATGGGTAAAGGTGCTTGTTACACAGGC